GGGGGTGTTTCCTGTTTGCACTGTGTTTTGTCGATCTGTCAGTGAGGTTTCAGCGAAAGCCGGTCTGCGTGCCAGAAAGCGAGGGATGAGAAGTGTAAAGGATCTGGCGAGCTGCTTTGATGTAATCTAGGCGAGTGTTATGGCGTTACACCACTTACGCTACAGTTGCATGTATATAGAATGTATACTGTGCACAGAATGCAAATATTCTGATGAGTGGCCTAGTATGTTTTCCACAATGTGCAGTATACATCAGAACACACTGCATACCATAATACCATATTTGTACTTGACCTTCCATTTCAGACGATAACTCATCAATAGATGACTCAACTAATAGATGCCACTCACATGCAACGTGATGAGGTCATGTGCAATATAGCATATTACCTAATTTTTTATTGTGAAGCAATGCATCAAATAGTAGCCTTTTTATACTATTTTATAATAATTTTTATAATAGCTTTTTTCAAATAGTAGCCAGTATAACGCACATACTTAATGTATACTGGGCAGTATTTAATAAACTATAAGCAGTATTCTTTTCTGATCATGGTCTCTGTGTATCCTCTTAATATAAAGAAAAGCCAGTTCTATTTGATTCTATTTGAATTTGATTCAGGGAGTCATGATCTCATTCCAAAAATAATCTCAATGCATCTCAATTCTGCAGGGTGCATATATTGGTAACGTTAATAAATATTGACACATTCTTTGTAAATATTCAACACAAAGCTGTAAGAAAAAGTAGAAATGAATATTATTTTCTGTAAAGTTTTCTCTCTTACTCTCTTCAGGTCTTTTTCACATAGTGAAATATTTCATTCTCCTGTGTAGGTGGAATGGACTCGGACCCCGGAGCCCATAGAGGTGCTTGTTTTCTGTTTGAGGGCTGTGAGAGAGAAGCTGCCCAGAGGTCTGTACTCACTGAGCGTGTCTCTTCAGACTCAACTGGGCGGCCACACGCTGTGCTGGTCCCGTCTGCAGGAGCAGCAGTGGGTTGGAAGAGCAGAACCCGTGGAACACCAGGGCCGATACTTTGACATAGAGCTCAACATTAACCAGAGCCTCTACATGGTAAGAAAACCCCAGCAAACTGCCCTCCTGAGGCACTCACAGCACTGCAGTTTATTTAACCCTAACAACAAAATGGCTAATGTTCAAAGAACCGATTTGATGATTGTTGATATGAGTGGATTTATGCTACATTAAAGAGCACAGCAATCAAACGTCATCACCTTTACGTTAGAAATTGTGGGATATTTTACCACTATCAATCATGGGTGCTGCTCAGAGGGGCTGTCTGTCATTGAGAACATTTGTCATATTTTTGTCAGAAGTAATGAGTTTTGAAAGCATATTTACATTTGTTTTCTCGGTTTGGCAAGCTAAAAAAAAATATTTTTCCCCCCATTATTTTATTAAGATGTTCTGTAGTGTTACATGATCCTTTAGAAATCATTCTTATACACTGATTGGTGCTCAAGAAACAGTTGTGCAAACAGATGTGCTGCTTAAAATTATTGTAGAAACCATGATACTTTTTTTTCAAGATTCTTTAATACATAGAAAGTTAAAAAGGACAAAAGCACAATAAGCATTTATTTGAAATACATTTTTTTTAACCTTATAAACGTCTGTCAGTTTTGATCAATGTATAGCGTCCTTTCAAGAAAAAAAAATCCTTCAATCAATCAATAAAAAAACAAAACTTACTAACACCAAACTTTTGAAAGAGCATATTTTATTGCAATATTGTTATATATCACAAAGCATACATCAAAAAGCTGTATGAAAACTAACTCACACTCACTTTTAAAGGGATAGTCCACCCAAAAATGAAATTAAACGAAAACCACTTTGATACTAATCCATATGAATTCATATGGATTACTAATCCATAATCCGTATGAATCAATCGCTTTATATGATGAACGGATTTTATTTAGGCACACACACACCAGTTATGGAAAACAGCTCAATGTAAATATGTGCACTGTAAAAAAAATTCCGTAAAATTTACGGTAAAAAACCGGCAGCTGTGGTTGCCGGAATTTTACCGTAAAAAATACAGTAGCAACGTTTTACAGTTTTCACTTAAATTTACAGTTAAATACCATAATTTCATTAACTGATATAATGTTAATATACCAACCTTATTGAAGTACTGAAATCTGTTTTGTACCTTTGTAATACACTGATAACCACCAAAAGCAGGTGGTGATGAGAAAGTCACATGATGAACCAAAGCCCATCACAAGCAGCTTTTAAATAATAACATATATAGAAGGTGCACAGTGTCATTCACACAAACGTTAAACACCACCATGGTAACACACATGAAACTGAAATAATGCAATAAACATTCATTTAACAACATTAGCTGTAACACACAACCCTAATATGCAAAACGGATAAGAAAAAACTAAGAAGAAACATAGTTATTTCAACAAAAAAACATCAAATTTGAAATGTAACGCAGGGAATTCTGGGAATGTCAATTTACGGTTATTCACTGTAAATTATACGGTATTTTTCACTTCCAAAAACGGTATACTACTGTAAAATTTATGTCCAATACATGTAATGTCCAATACAGTTTTCCACCGTATATAGTAGGGGAATTTACCGTTAACCATTTAACAGGTTTTTACTGTAGCATTTTTACAGTCTTTACCGTTAAATTCACGGTCATTTTTTACAGTGTGAATAAAAGCTTAAATATAGGCTGCTCATCATACGAAGCAACCAAGCAAACCGTTTTACGATCTCTTAATACACTTTTTAAGCATCAAAGTGGTAGTTGTGTAGAATGGAGGGACATAAATGGCTCTAATTATCAGACAGGACTAAATTCCAGAACAGAACCATGCTATTTTTTCTCTCTGCGGTTCCACTTCAGCTATTGAATATAGAGTCAGAATGAGGCTTATGAAATGTGATATTAAACAGTGAGTGTGTGTATAGGAGTGGAAAGAGACTGTATTAAAAACTGCTGCTGAAAGCTCAAGGTTTGACTTGAGGGACAGTCACTGTGAATAAAACAGCTGCTTTTCTAACATGACATTTAGTGTGTGAACACAAATCAAATTTATAATTCATTATACAAGAGCTGACGGTTTATTGGGATAAAAATGATGTACAAAAATTATGCTGTGAAACCAGAATTCCAGAACTCAGAACTACTGAGAAAATAAGAAAAAAAAAATAACGATATGCTTTTAAGGAACTATCAATGCTGTTCAGAGCAATAGTGTTAAATATTAAGTTAGTTTATGGGAGTGATGCTTTAGCGTTTAGTGCACATCTTGTTTTCTGTCGCCTGTGTATGAGGAAGAGCTGTAAAGAAAGAAGATGAAAGAAGACCTATAAATTGATCAATGCACTATATGTCAATGGGAGACTTTATTCATTTTTTTTTAATGATTTTGATTAATGATTAATGAGTTTTAGTGTTACTTAAAAAAAGAGAGAATAATCTAACAGGCTTTTTACAAGAATAAAGTGATAATGTTTCGACAATGAAGCTCTGATATTATGGGATCTGAAAATGTGAAGATCTCTAAAACTTTATTCTCAAAATAACACTTTAATCTTGTAAGCTTACTTTATTCTCATAACTTTATTTTGTAAAAGGCCTGTTGTGAGATTATTCACAAAACATTGCAATTTTATTCTTGTAATATTATGACTTGATCCTCAAAATCATTTTTTTTTGTCTGTACACACCTAAGACGGAAATGATCTTCAAAACAAAGTTTGAATGGAATCTGTGTTAAGTGGTTTGGGCTGAATTAATTCCAGAAGTTTAGACCAAACCCTCACCAGAATGTTTGTTCAGTAGTGCCATCCAAGCACTAAATAAAGAACCTAAAAATGTGATCACGATCAATAAATAAAGCACCTAATCTAGCATGCGCTTGTGTAGTCAGGCCTATATCTGCAGACAGAAGCGTCTGACACAAAGGAAATAAAGTGGGCCGCTTTAACTGAATACTCCTCCTCTCTTGTCCAAAACCGTGGGCTCTTATTTGGCAGGCAATCGTTTAGCGCTCCATTGAGATTGTCTAGTGTCAGTCTCCTCTATCCTCTACCAGCTCTTATTTATAGCCAATCCTGTTGCTGTTGATGTTTATGTTTCAAAGATTTCCATCAGATTTGTCTGTAATTGGCTCATTTGCTTTTCGCAGTTGCCCACATTACCGTGCACTCTCGCCTCGTCTGTTTTTCTCAACGGCTTTCGCAGAGGAAACGAGGAATTAACGTTAGTAGGAGGAAAGCTACAGCTCATCATGTTTTTCTTGAGTGTCTCTGGCTGGCGCATAGAGATGCTCTGATCTGATCCATCTTGCAGATTTGAGTCTTTCCTTCAAGTGGGATGTGAAAGATGTGATGGTCCAGGCAAGGAAGCAGAAGATAAGAAGAATCTTTCGCTGCTTTGCCAATCTGTAGTCTCAGTCTCATTTTCAAATCTCTTCATTCTGTTGTTTCATAGTGCTTCCATCTAAAGCCAAAACAGTCATTTAATGTTAAAAAGCAGAATGACACCAGCAGTCCATGAGGGAAATGCACTTAAATGCACTTTTTTTTTTTTTTTCAATTTATGCCTTCACATGTTTGCGTTTTCTCTTTTCCCCTCTTTCTCTTGTGGAGTTTGCTCAGTAAGCACAGGTCTGTTTTGAATGAAATCTGATCTCTGTGATGCTTTAATAGATTCCCAGCATGTAGCAGTTGTACCTGAGAACTGACACAGGCCTAAAACACAATGTTTCAGCCATTTCATTGTGTTTTCACTCTTTCCTTTTTTAATCTCTTTTTCTTTGCCAATTGATACAGTCAGCAGCGTTCTTGCTTATTTTTCAGTGAATTAAGCATCTGAAATATTATTCAATATGTATAATGCAGGAGATTATGGCATAAATTTGAGGCCTGATGCAGGGAATCTGTGCCATTTTTTTTTTTAGGTGTGAGCACAAAGCGATTAGACGAGAAACACATGATGAATGTGATAAAACAAGTCTTCTCCGTTTTCCATTACTCCTAATGGAGGGATAGAATACTCCTGGAGTGACTGATGAAGTCAAGCGCTTCTTTTTGTCAGTTCATTTTTTAAAGGTCTGTCTCTTGCTTGATGGGTAAATAAGGATCTCTGCATGTTATTCCTCATGCCACGTTTTCCTGATATACCACACTTTTCCTTAAATGTGCCTGGTTTACATATGTTCTAGTGATGTCACGGCTGTCATGTTGGGATCATCACATGCTGGCGCTCCTGCTGAGATGGCTTCCTGAAAGCAGCCATAATCACATTCCGATGTTTCATCATCTAGGTTCAAACTTTAGATCATATTAAACACATTTACATCTTTAGCTAGAGAGAGGAAATCGGGGAAATTAGATGCAAAATATCCATTTTGTAAGAGAGAATTTACTCTCTTTACATTGCACCCCTTTTCTGTTTTACTTTCTCTAACGAGTAGTGTTAAAACCGTTAGCTGTGTTTTGTGTGCCACAGTGAAAATTAGAGGATGCTTTATTTTAGACTATTACAAGAATATATAGCATCAGTGAAGGGTGCTTAACTTTCCAAAAATGTTGTATGTCCACATAAAAAGTCCAAATAAAAATTATTTTTTGACTCTTTAAAAATAATTTGTAATTATTTTTTTTACCTGTTACATAGGAACGCATTCCCTGAATTTTTCTTACCTGAATTCTAGCAATAATAATAATAATAATAATAACAAATACAAATTAAACATCAATAAAACACTAGATTAAATGTTTTGCAGGATTAAATGTAACAGGGTTGCAAAATTTGAATCATTAGGTGCTAGCTAATTTGGGACCACACTACATTAAATCTAAAGTTTTATTGAAGTTATTCAACTTTTTTTTTTTTTTTTTTTTTTTTTAGTTATTCATTTTTTAAAGAATAAGCTTGCATCCTCTCTGTCTATTAATATATTTAAAAGTTGTCTATCAAAGATTCGTTAGCATTTGCAACACCATGATTTCATTTTGTGCTAAAACAGAGTAGTGTTTAATTTTTGTAATGCAAATTATTTTAATCAGTCGCTTTGGTCTTCTCTGTGTTAAATGTGCAAATAAATCATTTTGACTTTGACCCTGATCTCTCTTTGTCCCCTTTTTTTCTAGATTTGTTTTAAATTATAGATTTAGATTTACTGTAGGTATTGTTCCCTTTTTGTCTCTTCCAGGTCTTGCCTGCATCATGTGATCTGTTGCCGTCCAGTGTGTTAGTGTTCAAGCTGTTATCTCTGCCTGGAGATCACAGTCATGTGAGTTCTGTGGTGGGCTGGGGTGCATTTCCCGTCTGCAACTGCTCCCTCCAACTCTTCAATGGTAAGTTCAAGACCCCTCTCTTGCGTGGCAGTCCGAACCCCTCACTCAACCAGTTCCGCAGAATTGAGCATCTGCTTTCCACTGACCTGGACAACTGGCTATGCAACCTCTACTTCCAGGTACATCTTTAAAGATTTACTTTTATGAAGATACTCAACAGTCTAATGATTCATACTATAAATAATAATAATAATAATAATTAATAACAGTTTTATTTACTTTATGTTGTAATTGCTTTAAGCTAATAAACCACTATAGTTACCCTAACTGAACTCTGTAAAAGGCAGTTTTTGGAGAATAGTGCCTGTTTTGTATATGTGAGTGTGTGTGTGAGAGAGTGTTAAGGCTCTAGAAAGAAAATTGGAAATTGGAGCCAGGTTGTAAACAAACCACATCTTTACTAAACACATCCAGATACATTTGAGGAGAAGCATTGATCCTGTTACTCAACAGCTTAATGAAATTAAAAAGCAGAGCAAAGGCTTTTCTCAATCTAATGCATTCATATAATTGGAAAATATTGTGTGTAGTGAGTGTATCCAATTAATATATCCTTATGGGATCTGCACTCCACAAAAAGTCCATACAAATTATACACATTCACAATCCCATTAATGTAAAAAAATATATTTTGGCTACTTTGACAGTTTGACACATTTTACCATGTTTAAAGTCAATCCATATAAATCTGCAGATTTACCAGCCAAATCGGTGCATAAAGTGAAAAAAAAAAAGTCATTCCATATGAGAAAGAAGCAGTCTGTGATTTTGTGCAAAAAATTACAGGTTTGTTTTGGAAGAGTCCCAGACAGTAAAAGAAACAACAACAACAAAAAAAATAAAAAAAATAAAATGCAAGTAAGAATATTTGTGCAAAGGAGTGATAGCAAAGGAAATTAACTTATCTGTATTTAAAATGGAGGAGAAACACTTCCCATGTCTTTTTTTTTTTTTGATGTCAAAGGCTGTGTCCAATCAAACTACATTAAATCTGGGTTCCTGAATTATCTGGGACCTGAAGCAAAACCAGTCGAGAGCCACTGCTGTACAGCATCTATTTGCCAACTGTCTTATAATGCCTTTCATAATCAGTCTTTGTCAATCAGTAGACATCCCTCTGTGCAGGTGAAGAGACTCCCGCGGGGCAGCACTGGGGTGCCGGAGCGCAGCTTCACCCTGCAGATCCCTTCTCACCCCCAGCTGAGCTCCAGCCAGGGGCTTCATCCCCATCCGGACACCTCCATCCGCTCTTCTGCTTCTCTGCCAGGTAGAACTTCTACACCCCTGCCCCTCGAAAGGAAGAAATGTCAGAGAATGTCACAGCCCGCCACAAACTCCCACACAGAGGCAGAATGGCAGCTGCCAGTTAGAATCTGGTGGGGCATTCATGCAGTGAAAATGAACCTTCTTCATTCAGACTAAAGTACGTCCAATTTGTGCAGCACAATAGGTGCCATTTAGGCCAAATTGTTTGCACTGTAAATGAAACTCACTAACATAAGACGTTCAGCTTTTCACATGATTGACATTTCTCACTGAATGCTATCATCATCATCATCACCATCATCATCATCATCATCCATTGCTGTGTTATCAAATGGCACATATATCCTCTAATCAAAACTCTCAGCCAGAAGCCGGCTCACATTGTTGTGTCGTACCGTGAGCAGTCAACGTTAAGTGGGATGGGGTGATAGCGAGATCACTGATAGGGCTCATTCGCTTGTGTGTGCCTCCATTAGCTTATTGATTTTTTTTTTTCTAGTGCGTTCATTGTTTGCCAGTTGTTTAGGAAATAGCATACGAGTTTAGAACGGTACACATAGAGATCAAAGCTTTCAAAACACGTGGCATATGTTTGTGTGCTGAACACTGTATTGAAAGTCTTCATAGTCACATTGAAACAAATGAAGCAAGTCAGGCATTGTTTTCACGTTACATCACTTGGGCCCTTTTGCTTGTGTTGTTGCCTGCTTAATGTCTTTAACTGATGCCATATTTGTTGGCTTATTTTGTTTATAAATGATTTAGACAGCATGTATATGCCTCAGTCTTTTGATGGTGTTTCAATACTTTGGTCATAAGCTCCCAAATTTTCAAACAACTAACTTGAAGTATTAAACTTCTTCAGCCATGAATGATACCTCAAATTGTGTGACTTGAGGAGAGTCATGCAATTACTTTTATACGCATTTAGACACACAAATATATCCCATTACACTGAAGTTGGTATCTGAATCACATTTAAAAATCTAGAGTCATCAAGACTTGAAGGTGGGCACTTTTTAAGATTAATTCTCTTCAATGGCCTAGCAACCACCCAGAACACCTTTGCAGTTACACAGGATCACTTAAAGGGATAGTTCACCCAAAAATGAAAATTCTGTCATTAATTACTCACCCTCGTGTCATTCCAAACCCGTAAGACCTCCGTTCATCTTCGGAGCACAAATTAAGATATTTTTGAAGGGTCCTTACACGATCAAGGCCCAGAAACATAGCAAGGCTAACGACTTTAACATAAAAAAAATAACGACTTTATTCAACAATTCGTCTCCTCCGCATCACCCTAGCGCCATTTTGGAGGGTTTACTGAACGTAAATTGCGTGTCAGCTGCGCCACGCGGATACGTTGTTTTCATTCAAATCAAAGTGTAAACGACGTAAACAGCGTAACCGCGTGGCACAGCTGACACAAAACAGCATACACGATTTACGTTTAGTGGATACTCTCCAAAATGGCGCTAGAGTGATTTGGAGGAGACGAATTGTTGAATAAAGTCTTTTTTTTTTTTTTTTTTCATTTTTTAAAAAGTATGCTCATGTAGAAAGCTTTCAGTGTGCAAAGGTGTCTCTTCTCAGTAACTTTTAATTCAACTACTTTCCAAAACTTAATAGAAACATGTATACTTTCCTCCTCGACTGAGGTCTTACGGGTTTGGAAGGACATGAGGGTGAGTAAATAATGACAGAATTATCATTTTTGGGTGAACTATGCCTTTAAAAACCACTCAGAACAAATGAACAACTGCAAATTAAGCCACTGAAAACCACTCAGAATACTGAGTTAGTACAGAATTTAGGAACGTCCTGGCAACCACCTACAACACTTTGGAAACTGCATAGCAAAAAGTAAAAAAAAAATGCTCAGAACACACTAGCAACAAACCGGAACTCATTAGCAACTGCAAAGCAGTGCCCTGGCAAACATTTACTTTTATACATTTGACAGATTATTTTATCTAAAGTGATTACAGTGCATTTAAATTATTTGATTTGTTATTTTTTGTGTTCTCATGTACCAGTTTACCCAACTCTATCAGTTTACTTGCTACTACCTACAACACCCTATTCACACAGAATTATGCTAAAAACCACACAGGGCACCTTAGAAACCACAATGCTCTGGCAACCTCCCACACCCAAGAATTACACTGGCAAGTTTTTTACAGGGAAGCACTATTTCTTATTTTCTTAAGAAGAAGAAAAAAAAAAGTCTAGTTTTTATAAGCAGTTGTGTAATTTATGCTCTTAAATATCCAGCACTCCCATTGCATAAAGATTAGTTTGGACAGGAAAGAGGCAAATAAGCAGTTTCCTTTCACTCACGTCCATGTGTAGAGCAGTTTTTACTTCAATAAGTGTGCGTCTCCCAGGCACACCTTCCTGTCTCCGAGCGTTCTGTCCTCACATGGGTCACAGAACATCTTGACGCCAATGCAGTCTCATTTGGTATTGATCTTGCGCAAAGACCATTGTTCTTTTTTTTTTTTTGGCAGTACTCATCTTTATTTAACAGAGCAGAACCAGAAAAAAAGTTTCTGGGGTGCTCAGCTTTAAACATCACATAGACTTTTTAATTACAAATGAGTTGTGACAGGTCTGCTGGGTAGCAACCTGTCCCATTTTAAGCGTGATGCTAGCTGACAGCTCGGCGCTGTTCTCAGAGCGCCGCAACATGTGGAAGAAATTGGTCTTTTACGTTTCACAGCTTGTCACTTCCTCTCTGCCGTGAACTTTGACCTCCCACTGTGCTCCTAACACCCCACATGGGAAGTGTCCCCATGCTATGGCACTCTGAGAGAGTTGTGTTCTGCTTACTATACATGCCAAAAAAAAAAGGCAGGAAGGAAAGAATAGGATGAAAAAGAAGCAGGTATTGGACAAACAGAGGAAAACTCAATCTGACTCGAATAAGTGATCAAAAGGTGTTCTTCACTGGACATCACAGCGTCAAACCGCTGAGCAGAGATGACGTTAGCATAAAGATCAGTTCAGGTTGCATTACTGCTACACACTCTTATGCTATTCAGATGGAGGATTCCCATCAAGCGAGAGAGCGGGATTGGACTGACAACCTCACATTACTCTGAAATGAAAATCAAATTCAGTGAGTAAAAACTGCAAATAGAGAACATCCAACTTTGGCTTCACGGACTAACGTTTTTTTTTTATCACGTGTCTTTTCTGCTAACTATGGTAGATTTATCTGGCACCTTTTTTGAGATGTGTTTATTTTTTTTGTTGGGGGTGGGGGGGGGTGAATACTGATCTATATAATTTAATTATATAACATTGTTTGATAGTTATATGTTTAAAATTATTATTTGTTTTAGCTTGACTTTAGTTTTTTTGTGTATTGAGACATTTATAATAATAATAATAATAACACACTATATAGCTGTCTCTCAGTTCATTCCAGTCTTTTTCTTTTCAAAAATCAGCTGAGAATACAGGTACATTCCTTGTCATTCTTGGGTATTATTGTAATGCTCAGACATGTCAAATAGGAGCACTGACGGCTAATATTATTTTCCCTCATTTCTATGTTCATTGCAACATATGACGTAGCTGCAGGCGTTATGAGTTAACTGACCTTTCACATTAAGTGAACGATCCAGTTACACTAGGTCTGTTTGAATTCAAATGACTAATTAAACTAGACCTTTCTGCTTTGATCACCCTTAGTGGATCTGTAACTGCATGCAGTGGGGCTTTTGGAAGCTGTGTTTGATTGCATCCTGCCCCTTAAGTAAATGCATCGTAGTACACTCGGCCCTTTAGCGCAATGACAATTTCCAAGATTTGCTCTTAGAGTGTTTCTGGAACACAGCCGTGCTCTTTTATATTGTCCCTGAGGGGCCAGTCCCGGTCACTGCAGATAACCCTAATACTGGATCATACTCACTAAATCACACTGCATTTTTACCCCAATTAATTTACTACTGCCCATCTTTAAATGGATGAATTAACCTTGCTTACAACAAACTCGGTTTTTAGTTGACGAGAAAACGTAGCCTCATGTGGTGAGGGTGATGGAGTCGGACAGACATTCCCAAAGGCTGCTTAGCTTATGTGAAGAAAAACAAACTGTTCTGAAGTGAAAAGCCTTGCATAATGCAGATTTTTAAACATGATATCATTGTAAATACACAGATACTTGCTAAATTTCAAATATTTGAAAAAGCTCACAATTCCCACAGTCATGGAACCTGGGAATGACTGTAAAATAATGCCTCTGTAAGTCTATATAATGATTAAAGTATAATATAATGTCATGTGATATAAAATGCTCTGTAATTAGAACTTTATTTTTAAATAAATGATATGATGATGATAAATTTATAGTTCTAAATTATGTAGTACATTATTTTAACTTATGTATAATTTGGTATTATATATATGTATATACACTTTTGCTCAAAACATATTAAATCGACCAAAAGTTGCTCCTTGTTAGAGCAGTAATTTTTTTTCAAAACCTTATGTATTAAAAATTATATGTTTCTAAATGTTTTTAAAAAAATTGTTCTCTACTTTATTTCCCTTTGTTTTGATTATTCCTATTACATCGGGTAATTATGAGTCATGGATTATGCTCATGGGTAATCAATAATTCACTGACCTTTGATTTTCGGCAACTCTGGAACCGACACCAGGGCAATTAGAAACCTAGGTGAGCGCACAGGTCCCCATCGGTCACCCAACCCTTCAGGCCCGGTTCCTACTCTGTGCGTTCATGGTAAGCAGAGGATAACAAGCCTCTCTTGTTCACCCTGGGAGAACGTGGGTTGTGGCTGCAGCACTCCAAGTTCATGGACATAGCCTACAGCTGTCAACGCTGCACTAATTCAGACCCGGCACCATCTGAGCATCAGGCTGGAGGAAGGATAATTAAAGGCAAAGTTGCAAAGTTGTGTTGGCTGGCCCATTAAAACATGCATGATCGTGGCGCAAAGGCAGGCAGAATGCTCTGCTGACAGGAATTACAGTCTCTGGACACAGAACAGAGGTGGGGGGCAGGCTTTTGCTCCACATCGCTGCAGGCCGTAGATTGGAACAGGCTAAACCTTAGATAAAAATGTATGCACTGCACACGGCAGAGACAGGGGTCTTCGGTTTATGTAAGGCTAATGTCTTTATTACTGTGTCAGTATCTTTTTTTAATTTTGATGATGCATGTCGAAAGTATCATTGTTGGGGAAAAAAAAGGCAAATTGTTGCTTTTTTTTTTTTTTTTTGATTTAAGTGATATTTAACCTGAAAACTGCATTGCTGTATGGTGCTAAACTTTTGCTAAACTTGTCAGTCTTCGCATTGGTTACCTTTTACCTTGGAGATGTAACACCATTGTTAAAGCTAATTAATGCATAGCTACCGTCCGGACTCTTTTAATGAGCAACATGTTGGACAAAATAATAATATAGTGCAGGAAGTTTAAACATTGAAAAGAAAATAGGCTATTTTCTCCCCTGGTACAAAACTGGAACAAACTGTTGGAAGCAACCATGTGAAGAAATGATTACAAAACCATTATGAACCAAACACACCAATATTGAATGGCAGAAAGCCATTGGGGCCGGTCTCATAACGTGAAGGTTTTGAATAAACCTTTTTTACATGTAACTCCATATGGTTTCGTGGGTCATTAACTGTGTCTCTTCCAAGAGAAAACAGACTGACATATCTTCTGTAGAAGACAAATTTCCCCTCCAACACTTTTTGACTTTTTCAAGCTTCAGCAGTAGAAAATGTCTGTAATTTGTTTCCGTTGTCTACGGTATTTCTTAAGGCTTGTCACTACAGTGAAAAGACAGTGCATCAGAGGTAAGCCATGCAATTGAAAGTGATTATGCATTCATTATAATGAAATAACCACCCATATTTATGTTAAGATAGGGCAGATGTAATGCTTTCAGCTGTAGGCATCTCAAATGTTTACTAGTATAACTTGTAATTAAAACCTACATCTGTGTTCAGATTAAATGTAATATCAGTTCAAAAACAGCACTGAGGACATACCAGCCCTGAATGCTCCTGCTATTAAAACCTATTTGAGTCTTCTAAAGCCTTCCTGATACGTTGCCTATATTTAAAAGTTATTACTGATATATTTAATCCTGCAGCAAGAGAAAAATTATATCATCTGGGAAGTTTCCATATTTATTATATAGATGTGACTGAAGAGAAAAAACGCAATGAAAAAAGTTTCTCATGGTAAAATTTTTACATGTATCAAGCTAAGGTTTACTTAATTGGAAGCTCCAGGCAATGCAGGAACCCTCTTTTTTAAATTCTGTGAATGTTAATATGCTAAATAATGCAAAGCTCCTGCACTTCAAGCATGAGACACACATCTGGCAGCTTACCATTTAAATTACAGACGGAGAGCAAGAGAAAACACTTCAAAAGTAATTTTCCAAAGGAAGGAAGAATGGCAAAATGTATTACAACTAAATTTAATTTTTTTTCGATTTTTCATCATGTCTAATTGTGTGCATTAGAGCAATGAAAAAAAAAAAGGAGAGGTTGGGCTCAGAGATGTTGATGATGTGTGTGAGGGAGAGAAAGAACAGAATAAATGTGAAGAGAAAGTTTCATCACTTTTGCTTTAGCTGTACATTTCATTGTTTTTGAAAGTCTACATGCATTTACCGTTCTCATTAGTTGTGCTTTATAGGTATAATATATAATTTATATAATTTAATTTTCACTTATTTAATTTATTTTAAAAGATGCTGAAATTGTCAAATTGCTTTATTTTATTATATTTCATGTTATTTTAGTTTTATTTTGTTTTACCTTATGTTAATTGTGAACTATACCAAAGTTTCTGTTTTTGTGCTTCATCTGTGAAGTTAGAGATTATGCAATACTCATTTAATTAATTAAACCATAAATCACTGATCATAAGTTATTTTCTGCCTTACAAGAACAAAGGTTCATTTGTAATGTCATTGCAGGTAAGAGCCCCAGTGGAGCTGTGTCAGCCTCTGAGCCCAGCAACCAGACAAACCGCCCCATCGCTGAGAAAACCAAGGCCGAAATTCATAACAAGGTAACTTGAATGAGGAAACATTCTGACCTTGAACATGGGCCCTCTCTCTCACTTCTCCTCAGAGGCACCATGCCCATTCAAACATTTGGAAGATTAAAAGCTTGCAAGCTTAAAAGAGTGGGGGGGGAAAAAAAATAGAAAGAAAAAAAAAGAAAGCAGGTAATCTTATTTTGTAATAATAAGTAGGTAAAAAGTGTTTGAATTATTACACATTCTTCTGTACTATCATACTATTTTTGGCATGGTATGCATAGCGTGCAAAAACATTCTGTGCGCATGGAATCTCATATGACTTTTTAAAAAAAAAAAAAAAAAACCTTTACTAGCAAGTGTACTATAGTATTTGTTTCATTTACGTGACATGTTTATTTCTTTAGTCATGTCTTATTTAGCCCAAGGCACCAAGTGAGCCAGGACCGCCACTAAAGCCCCCTTTACAAAAAAAAAAAAAAAAAAAACTCCCCTTATTATCTGAGATTTGTCAAAATACATTTCACACTAACAGGTATTTTTCAGTCTTCAAAGCTAGTTTTGATGTGCTCGACAAGCCAAAACAGCTCAGATTCTGTGAAATCAGCAGTGCCAGCTCGGTGCTCTCTCTCTCTAACTGCTCTCAACACGCCTTTTCCTGCGCTCCACAGGACTTAAACTAAATGAATCAAAGCTGCGACGTTACCTGCCGCACTTTGAAGTGGTAATTGCAAAATGACTTCTCTGTGCTGATCTGGTGCTGCTGTCTTATGTTGCACAACTGTGCATTGTGTGTTCTCTCCTGCCACTTTAGTCTTTGTTGTTACTGTTGTCATGGGATGCCAGGAACATGCAAATTCGCAGCAGTTTACATGCATCCGCAGATTAATCACAGGAATGGAATTGTGCACATTGTATTAGAAATGATCCTCATTATACGTATTACATCACTATCAACAATTAAATCTGTTTATTGAAATAAGTTGTAATGCAGACGTCTTGATTTTCAGGGAAAGCTAATGGGTCATTCTACCATGTTGATGTTTGTGTCAATTGTATAAATGTCTAAAATTTTATTTAGATTTATTTGACATAAAATAGTATGAATGTATTAATATTTTGTGTCTTTAGGCCATGCTTCAACATTATTTTACCATATTCATATTCTCCCCTTTAAAATAACTATTCTATGATACTGTATATAATAATGACAATATCATCCTTTCAAGTGAACTCTTCAAATCAATTAAAAAAATAAGGGGATGATCTTAAAATGAAAACTCTGATACACAACTAAAAAAAGTATTCAATTTGAAGAACATATTGCTTAAATACTTTTTCTGAAACATATTTAACATTTTATGGTATATTTATATTTGGCTTCTTCTGTTATCAACTATTGTTCAGCAGTAGTCTAGTGATGACATGAACAATGTCATACCTGCCTAAATCTGGAAGCCAGCCATAAAATTCAACATAATGGCATATATATCTTGTTTTTTTCCCCCTCTTCCTCCTCCTTTTTCTCTAGCTATTATGTTCTTCTCTGTTGTGTTCTTCTCTGTAGTTTGCTGTATGTGGTCCAATGTGTTTTTCATTTCTGGATTGGTGACAGTGATCTTTCATATGTAGATGCAGGCAGTATCTGTGCTGCAGCAGCGCGTCTGAGCCCACCCAAGGGCGTAGTGCATCAGACTGAATGCCAGACTAACAAACAATATCAGCACCCAGCTCAAAATTACTTCTGAACTCTAATGGACTCCAATTATGACTGCTCTAATACACTGCTGCATGCTTGAGCTATGCGGGGTCAGAATTAGACCCCCATTTTTGCCCTGTAACTGAGTCAAATTTTCTTGGTGGTGTTGATTTTATCGGTGGTTTAAAAGGCTTGAATGTGGTTCATTATCAGAATCAGAATCAGAATCAGAATGAGCTTTATTGCCAGGTATGTTAACCCATACGAGGAATTTGTTTTCGTGACAGAAGCTTCCACAGTGTAACAGAATGACAGTGACAGAACAAAAAACACATAATAAAAAATAGAACAAGTAAATAAGGAATAAAAATATATAAATCGACAATTGTATGTGCAGGTATATTACAATAGACAGTTTTTGTATGTACAGGTACTGTATATTATGTGCAAATTTGAGGTGTAGACTGAGTATGAGTGTTAGATAAATAAGTGTATGAGTGTATAAATAGTGTGTGTTCCACAGTTATTGTTAAGTGTTCATGAGATGGATTGCCTGAGGGAAGAAACGGTTCCTGTGTCTGGTCGTTCTGGTGCTCAGTGCTCTGTAGCGTCGACCAGATGGCAACAGTTCAAAGAGGGAGTGTGCTGGATGTGAGGGGTCCAGAGTGATTCTGCCAGCCCTTTTGCTCACTCTGGATAAGTTCAGTTCTTGGAGAGAAGGGAGGGTTGTACCAATGATTCGCTCAGCAGTCCGGACTACCCTCTGAAGTCTTCTGAGGTCAGATTTGGTAGCTGAGCTGAACCAGACAGTTATTGAAGTGCAGAGGATGGATTCAATGATGGCGGAGTAGAACTGTTTCAGCAGCTCCTGTGAGGGGATTATGAGGGGATGTCTGGCTAGTTCTATCTACCACTGTTTCTGTGTCTACAAAGCTACAGTATTTTAGAGGAACTGTGAATAATTATTATAATGCCAAACTACTGCTGCGTTACTAGTACTTAGTGTGTCTGGAGGAGGGGGTCTTCAAGAAAAATTTGGTCCAGTCCCGTGAAGTTAAGCAACTACCCTGAAAGAGGACAAAACATAGAATATGAGTATAGGCATGAAATACATTACATGAATAATGTAAATGATAAAGCCTATTTTCAATTCAAAAAGCAAAATAGGACAGAACAGACTGAATACATTGCATCACTGGATTTAATTGTCTGTCATTTAACTTTTAAACATCAAATGCTTATCTACTTACCCCTCTTAAAACTTAATTCTGAAGCTTTACCTTTCATGTTTGTTGTTCATCTTGTTTTTAATTTGATTGGCCAACTGCCAGACCACCGTCAATTTTAATAAAAAAAAAACAAAAACAAAATGTCATCCTAACATTAAACTGAGCGGTCAGTATTTGGCCATGTCTTGACTATTGGGAGAGCCCTTTAAAATAAAAATGATAAGTGTAATTCTAGTTGCGAAGTAATGATTTTGAACTATTTGCAAATAATATTTGAAAACATGCACACTTTAACTCTTATTCATATGCCTAATATGTTGAAAACGGAAAACGCTTCTTGTCTCATCACATTCAGTTAGGAATTACATGAATCACATAGATGATAGCTAAATTACCATTTTTGAGAAAAAAAATTTAGTAGTTTGCATCGCTGGATATCATCGTCTATCATTTTTTCAGTCATGTTGGTCTATCATAAAACAATTATCAATTGTTAAATGCTTTGCTCTTACCTGTCTGTCCTTCATTGATAAAACTGATGCTGGAATTTGTGCTCTGATTATGTGAACGGTAAACTCCACCTACTTTGATTTGATTGGCCATCTCAGTCATTTTGCCATTGACGAATATTGTTAGACCCCTGAGGCAAGCCAGCCAACTTTTAAATATTTTTGTCATCCTAAGAACGGACATAGCACTACATAATGGAGTGCAGCAGAGCAATGCAAGATTTTAAAATATTTCTAGTTATTGGGGGAACAGTTTGGCCATTTCTAATTATTGTTCCCCTCAATGTCTGTGGTGGTTACAGCTCTGGGCCCTGGTGCTGGAAGTTTCAGTAGAGAGTTTAATAACCTGCTGACTCAGTTTTAGGTTGAAATGTATTGAGTGTTCTTGATTTTATTGTTGATTTAAAAGGCTTGAATGTGGTTCATTATGAGAGGATATCTGGCTAATTCTGCAGATAACGTTTCTGATTGGTCTCCACCATGACTGGTGTTTTAATCCATAACTGGGTCCAACATATCCATGGCTGACTCATGCTGTTAAAAGAATGGACTAGATTAAAACAATTATTTTAAATCACTGAATTTCCTTTTTATTGCGTATGACTCTTCTGTGCTTTAAGTGATTTCAGCCGTTTGGCTAACTTCTGCTATTTTTCTAATCCCAACCACATGTTCCTCAAAACACCCTTTAAAGCATACAGTATATGCAGAATGATTGACATGCAGATAGTTTCTGATTGGCTAGTTCCCCTGACTCGCAGAAACACCTGACACCGATTTTGCTCATATTTGTCAAATAGTGGGAAGATTTTACGTGTGGTTAAAAAAAAAAAGCTACAAGCAGCTTTCATATTGTCATCCTCAGGTTTCCAACAGGCCAGTCTAAAGAGGTTCTGTGGCAGAATATGTTGTCAGATACAGTATTACAGTATATCAGTTTTTTACAGAAGAAAAACTCTGTTTGTTGCCAGTTCATATTTCACATTTATTCTTTGAATATATTGCTTTGATTTCATTGCATGCAGTAATTCTTGTGACTGTAGGGCAGCCCTTCATAAATGACATATAAATGATATGAACTGTCTTTCAAAGTCTACTCAGCACCCAAAAAGCTCTGTTTAACAACCTAGAGAGCTACCTACATTTTAAGTCAAAAGGAACCTCATAAATGACATCAATTAGGAAAAGTGTACACTTTACCATGGGAGACTCTAATCAAGTGAATAATTTTGTTGTTAACATGTTGCTAAGTTATCAATACCATAGTCTAATAAGCAAAAAATACACAAATAAAATAAAACATGTAAGTATTGGATAATATAGGCTGTTTAATTGTACTGAACTGTTTTTGCTGATATTTTTCAGCATTGAATGAAGTACTGTTTATAATCATCATATTTTGCAAGAAATGGGCAAAATACTATATCTAGAGACAGCATTAATATGATGCCTCTCTTTTGGAATATCCTTTGAGTTGGAAACACGCTTCTGGTGCTTTTTTATATAGATTCTTGACTCATAATGATTTTATAGAGCTGAATTCAGTAGTTTGAGTGTGCCAGGTGTGTTGCTTTAAACATATAATTTCTTGTTTTTGTCTAATTTTGTGTGACTGCCTTTCTTTTCATTTCATCCCATCTCTGTCTTTCCGACAACTTTGATTAGATGTTGTCTGTAATGTGAATGTCATTCGTTTCCTGTACTGGTTTGTGCGTGTGTGTGTGTTTGAGAGATGATGTCAGGGTGAAGTGTGCTGCTGTCATTGTATTCCCAAGATAAATCACTGCAACTGTTTCCTGCTATGATTACAAACGACATGCACATGTGTCTCTCCGATCAGAGCGGCAGGCAGAAGAAGATAATCGAGAGAAACAGTGAGGCGCTCAAACCTCTCCCTAAAGATCAGCTAGACCAGTTCACCTTCTCTGTGAGGTAAGTGTCATTTCTCAAGGCCAGTTTTATGTCTATGGGTATATATGGTTATGTTCAGAATGAATACAAGCATACTTGCTGCATATTGCACATGCAGAAAAGCAGGCATTATGCCATGATAAACATTATTAGCAGAAATATCTTTGCTGTCACATGACCTGATTGCGTTATGTGTTTAATTCACTGGTATGAAGTTACCATTTAAAAATAAAAAAAGTATATTATAGTTGTTTTCCATCTTGTCACACTGAAAAGTGTCATGTTTTGGGAAATGTATTAGGCCATTGGCGAATTGTGTGCATAAGCATAATTTGTGTATACTGACTACAGCATAGAGCAAAGTATGCTATTCTGAATATTGTTGTGTGGCAGTTTGTGGATAAACATTAAAGGCCTTCATATAACACACACACGCCCACCCACACACAACCTTAATCTTTTGAATGTATCATCTTTTATACTAAGATTATATATAAATCACACCACCTAATTTTCCAATATTTTTTGAAAATTGTTATTGTTGAGTTGTGACCCTATAATACTGCATCTTTTTCTCAGTGCATATATTAACACACATCAACTTGCATGATTTATTTGAGGCTGAATATGAATGTCACTGTCCGCAATATGAATGTCGCTTTATTGTCAGATTCAATGTGCGTTTTTATTGAAGGGATCAAGGTAACGTTAACATCGGCAACGCATAAAACCTTGCGCTGTGGATAATTGCTTTTTCGCTAGTGATGCAAAGTGCACAAGCAGGCCTACGAATGAGTGTTTTCTGCGTTTTATTGTGGCTTACAGCATTTGATATTAATGAGAAAACAGGAGTGAAAACACACCGACACAAGCAGCAGCACCGAACAAATCTTATAAACGGCCTCATGAAATTGCATTTCACAAAACACTTACCTAAATTTCACTGCACGTGCCTGCGATGAAAGCTGCTCGCCTAAATCCACAGAGGGAAAACATTGAGGTGTGTGTTTTTATTTTGATTTTGCTCGAATTATTGCCAACGCTGTATATTTCTCTGAGAAGAAAGAAAGAGCGACTCATTTTATAGGATTTAGAGCTGCCTACCTCTGCTCATTTCTGAAAATTGGTAATTTGTTGCCGCTGGACTAGTATTAAACAAGATCAGAAGCTGTGCTGCTGTAAGTATGAGAGGAAATCAAATGAAACTCAGGCCACACATCAGAGAAGAGAGGGCTGGAGCACAACTGCTAACCCAAAGCAGGATAAAGGACTTCAAAACGTAAAGCCAAACATCGACTGGCAGAGTTTAGCCCCACTGTCTTTCATGTAAGCCATCTGAAATACAATTCAATTGACTGTTTCTTTGTTTGTTAATATTGTTTTGAAATGCAAATCACATTTCAGAATATTCTCATGGTTCTCACGCAACCAATGCTGCAGAGATCATATTGACTTTAGAGAAAACTCTTTGATTCATTTCACTGGATGCAAACTCAGTTACACCATCATTAGGGTGTATTATTAGTGTAACGTGTGTGTATGTGTGTGTACATAAGTGATTCTTCAGTGAGGTGAACTTTTCTGTCCCCCAGGATGATTTTAAAATAACCGAGTTGAAAATTAAGAGCTAATTTTATTCAAATAATGTGCATTAGATTTTATGACTTTTGGTTTTTAACAATAAGTGCTTTAAATAGTGCAATTATAATTGAGGGCTTTAATAGCTTTAAGCTTTTTATTCTCTCTTAACAGCTTCTTTGCTCATTTTTATAAGGTTAAATATTCTGTAATTTCTCCATTTTGGCCTTGTCCAAGACTGCCCAGACTTTCATTCTACAGTAAAGTATTAAAAAAGGATATTTGCTTTACTTAAAACATCCTGTTTTAAATTTATCTGGTATTTATGTGCAGTTTTCATAACAAAGAATCACTGTTCCCAATACTGCTGTCATTATGAAGAAGAATCTACCAGAACGTTCAAGCCCATCTTTTCTTCCCAGGATATGCTATAAATGTTTGAACATGAAACAGATTGAAGAAGTTTCATTTTGCACGATTGGTCAAAACTGAATTTAAATAATGATCTCAATTTACTTGAATGTGACAGATCGGACATAACCTCCTTCTCTCACGTGATACTACGCTGTCTTCATGCACGGCTTGATATGTGAATGAGTGAGGCATATTACTGCCATCTAGAGAATCAGCAGAGACTCTGATGTTGCATTTGATTTTTTTTTCTTTCTGCTGTGAAATGCGTGCAGCTCAGGCAGAGGTTTTGACAGTTCACAGCCACGAGTTTATTGATAACTGCTGTCCCATTTGTTTGCATGGAAAATCTGTATGAGTTGGTGCTCAGCCCACTTGTATGACCTCTGAAAGTACAATGTGTGCCGACTAAAAAAACTTCAAACAAACAGGGCTGAACCTGCTGTATTACTAAGTAAACTGTACATTATGAAACCTTAGTTTTATTATATATGTAAAGTATTACTTGAGTAGCTTGTTGGTTAATATATTTGCTACACTGGCAGAGACTTGCCTTGGAGGGTAATGCATGTGTAGTGTCTGTTGTGCAGTGGTGCTTGTATATTTAGATTCTTGAAATGTTACAAATTGTGCATAAAGAAAGAAGGTCAAGTGTCCACAAAGGGCATTCCTTCAGTACTATTTAAAAAGGATCCCAGGATGCACCTCATGATGTAATCTAATAAAATGGCTAGTTTGCTATGATAGCCAAAAAGCGTCTTTTATGTTAAGAAGCTACAATATAGGATTTGAAATATAGATTTTTTTCCGTGTTACATTGTTCCCCAACTTCCATTTTAATTTTGCTATAAATTAAAAATGTGGATGCTTACACACACACCTGTAAATGGGAAGAAGCAGAAGATTAAATTTGTAAACCAGTTTAGTAACATCACAAGTTGATTTTGATAAGTTCATTAAATTCATAGCAGTCATATCACATATATGGCATTTATAAATACACTTTATTCAAATAAAAAAATAAAGAAGCTCTTCAGCTCTGTATAAGCTTCCAGTGTAGACAGTGTTGTTTATTTTTAATGGAAACTTTTTTTTGGGATCCACAGTATAACGCTCACATGATGTGGAAACGGTGTAAAAGTCAAAAGCGCCTCAGACAAAAACACAGCTCAGACAAAAACACGTCTCAAGGCTTCTGGTATTCAGTGAACTGGGAGCAGGGGATGCTGGGTATCGCTCAGAGAGCTGTTTATCTGAATGGGCAGAGCTGCTCTTGTTCTTTCTCTTTGAGTTCTATTATCCTTCTCTCATTTGATCTTCTCCCAGATTTACATATCAAACACCTTTGCCAGAGTAATAACCTTAAACCATACATTACGATTTCAAAGAACAAACAAAATGCAGCAAAGCGCAAATATTGATAACTGTGCACTCATTTCAAAATGAGAAAGTATGACAAAAAGAGTTCGAAGACCTTCCACCTTATTTGATCTAGTAGTTTGTTTGTCGTCTTTTTTTTTCAGATACAGAAGAGAAAATAAAATGACAAACGCTAGTTGGATGCTAGCCAAGAAAATATGCGCATATGGTGTCTGGCTAAAATCCAAGGCATAGTCACATTTTTCCAACACACACACAGCAATCCTAGAATGCATCGTGAAAATGGTGGACAAAGTTGAGAGAAATGTTGATTATAAATACTTGTTTTACATTCAGTACTATAAAGTTCAGTCTCTTTAAACATGATTTTTTTTTCTTCTTTGCATTGTTTTTATACTTATTACAAGTTATTAGCTTAGAAACATGCAGACATCAAAGTCTACTGGAATTACTTTTCAAACCTCTTGCGAGGAGCACTATACATGTGGTGTAAAGTTGCTACCTATGTTTATCATCAAATCGGTCACTTGTGATGTTTCATGTTGGTAGGGATGCTGCTTTAGAAGAGATCTGCCTACAGCGAGGCAGCTATTGTTCATGACTTATTTATACTGTGACAGAAGTTTCTGTCTTGTTTTTTCCTTCGAATATTTCCTTTGAATTTTGCCTTGAGATATAGTTCTGCAGTTTCTCTGCAGATAATTCTTGTCTCAGTGAGTGGGACAGTGAATATTTTTATCTGCATGTGTGTGTTTAACTTTGCAGTCATTTCCACTGCATGCAAGTGTTTGTTCATTAATTACTCTGCATATTTATGTTGCACCAATGTCATCCTGTCAGCTAAATATTTTCCCTCTTATCTCGTTTTGGGGAAACCTGTTTTAATCAAACTCAGTCTCACACAACAATTATATCTAATTAGCCCAATTATCAAGACTCTAATTACACTGAAATATACCCCCCAAATCTCATATCAATTATATCTGTGACTTTTCCTGTCCTAAAAAGAGAAAGATGAGGGGTCTGTGTTTCCTCCTGAGGGTGAGCAATGCTTCCAAAATCTGTACAATCATTCCCATCTCCTTTCACAAAACTCCTTTCCACCCTTTCACGATGGATCTCTTTTTTTTGTGTTCCAATTTTTTGCTGTCTCTTTTCCTAGATTGTAAGTTGTGTGGTTTCTCTCATTGTCAACATACACACTGCAGCTGAATATGGCTGTTATTTTCTTAAACCATTTGACCACAGCAATTGTCTTTCCTGTGTTCTCTTCTGAAAAAAAGGTACACTTTTGTAACGCCCCTGTGGACTGTTTGTTGTGGTTTCTTCCCTTTGTGTTGGTTTAGCCCGTCTAATCATTAGTTAATCACCGTCATTGTGCTCACCTGTCTGCCTCTAATTATTCACCCCATATTAGTTCCTGTCTGTCTGAGCATTGGTGTCGGTTATTGTTAATGTTACCCCGAGTGTGTGTCTCACTCGCAGCGGTGACAGCGTTAGAGGACGCCGCCCTTAATCAGCTGTTCTGGCTCGGGGCCAAGTACCATCGCCCCGTGGATCTCCCAGACACCACTTGTCTAAGTTGGGGGGAAGGTGTCTTCTGATGTCTGGGGAGTGTCCGGTCCCGAGCCAGAACCAGTACGCCGCCGTCT